GTGGGGGGGTGGGGGGAGGGTGCTAGGTGAGGGGTCCACGCATGAAGAGAGAGGCAGAGTCCCACTCCTGCCAGATATGTCCTTCCCTCATCAGTATGGCTTAAGACAGGAGAACATGATGTCAGCACATCAGTGGGAGGCGAGAGAGGACATTGACTGAAAGGCCAATTGGTGTTTTCAGTCTCGAAAGCTGTCCTTGAAGGACTATCTAATACATGTCACAAAGCCTGCAGAAATGGCAGCTATCATACTAGATGCCAGAGGCAGGGGGACAAGGGGGAGCGCAGGGTAGACAATACCTGCCACTACTCCTGCCAACCTCAGGTGCTGTAGACAGGAGGTGATACCGTAATCAAACACAGATGGACCTAGACCCACACAGGCGGCTCAAACCCAAAGGTTGGTGGTAAATTGTTGGTAGCCCAGACGCCTAAAGTCATCTTGTGTTCAATGTGAGAGTCACCTTAAATCAGCATGTCAGCACTATTCTGGTGGCCCGGTCTTGAGTGAGTTCACACTGCTTTGGCCAGTAAGAGTGACCTGCTTATCTGGCTGTCCACCTCAAAAGGGGTCCCAACCACCAGTCCCTGAGAAGACCCCACAGGCATGAATTCAAGAGCTCTCAGGATACCTGCTTGACCTCATGTATAAGGTACAGGGCCATAAAATTCCCGAAAGGAGACAAATGGAGACCAGGGTCCATGTGGGTCTGCATCTGGGCCAGGGACATTCTGCTCAGAGAACACTGCCAGTCCCGGCAGTACCAGGCTTAAGAAAGACTTAGAAAATTCATGGGAGGCCCTCCAAAGGGCTAGGGTTGGGGGAGGAGGCAGGAGTCTGAGGCATGGGCCCGTGGCAGAGGCCTTATTGTCCCGGAGCTTCTCTTCTTCTCTTGAAAGCTTGTTTCAACAGAAACAGGGATAGTGGTGGGGGAAACCCATAAATCCCATTTGTATAATCTGCAGATTCTGAAATAGTACAAGGGCTGCCCACAGCAAACCCCTGAGACCAAGCAGATTCCAACAGGAGGAAGTGAAGAGAAGAGCCCAAGGCGGGGAAGGGGGTGAGGGAGACAACCCAGTGACGGCAGCTCCCAGGAAGCGTAAGCAAATACACATTTATCGAAGGTGAGGAATGCTCCTGACAAGTCACACCTACATCTCTGATGTTACTTTACGACAAGTAGGGCTGACACTGAAGTGAGGCGGGCTTGGCTGCTCTGCTGGGCTTCAGAAGAGCAGCGGAGGCCAGTCAACCAAGGGTCCACGGACAAACTATTTCCTCCAGAAAATACTTGGAGTTTGGCTATGCACCAGGCACTGTTTCCGGCAGAGGTAGAGACAACATCTGTGAGCAAAAGAGAAAAATCTCCTCTCTAAAAGAGTTTGCATTCTAGTGGGCAAGACAGAGAATAAGCAAGATACATAGAGAAATGATACAGTAATCCAGAAGGTGGCAAATGCTATGGAGAAATAAAAATCTAGGAAGTGGATAATGAGTGCCGTCATTTTCAATTAAGTCATCCAGGAAGTCTTCATTGAAAATATAATTGGAGCAAAGATATGAAGGGCAAAGGTCATATTGACATGTTTCGGGAAAATGTGAAATGATTTAGAATCCAATCCATTCAATTTTATTTTTTTATTATTATTTTTTCCATTCAATTTTAATTCAAATACTTAAAAATAATTTTTTAGAATGCACATGCATTTTTAATATTTATCACTGAGCCAGGTTGGACACCACTAACAAGACACCTTCTGAAGATAAGTACCTCCATTGTGAAGAGGGACAGTTGCTGCTGCTCTCTGGAGCGGTGCCGGCAAAAAGGCCCCACCCAGCTTCCCTAACCTTTGGCTACAGCTTCGTCCTTGGACAACCGAACACACAGTACTCCAGCAGCTCCATGGCCTGTGAAGGGGAGCAGTGTGTCATAAGCTGGCTATTGGAATAGATGTCTGGATGTAGACCACCTCCTTATCCACAATTGTGAGTTATTCATTGTGCTTGCCACCTGTGAGGCTTCAGCACACATTATCAGACTCGCAAGTGGCCTGGTAGAGGGCTGAGATCAATACCGGCAGCACACCAGGTGTCACGGCACACCAGTGACAAACTGAGATAACGGACCATGGGAAGCATCCCCAGCAGAGTAATTTGAGGAGGAGCCCCATAGTGAGTCACTGATGAAACGAGATTGTTGTTTTAGGGATGTAAATCAGGTGGCAAATCGAGGCTGCTTTGGGAGTGCGGAGAGACTGCAGACAAAGTTCAGATTTCAAATGATATGGGGAATATAGGCAGGACCTGCAAAGGGTCCAATCCAGGGGTCTGGTCATGAGAATGGAAATGAAAGGATCAAGATAATGAAATCAAATGTTAATAACAAAAGCCACCTTGTGAATTGGAAGGAAAAGCATTATCTAGGAGTTAAAAGATTGTTTGACCTCTGGCTTGAGTGAGTTATTTAGAATTCTAAAGCCTCAATTTCCCCATTTGAAAGTGAGAGTTATATGTGATAAATTCTAAATTTTCACTTAGTTTAAACATTCCTAGTTTATGGTTTTCTTGAATGGTTCATTTTAATAAAGGAGTTGAACTTTAGGGAACATTTGCTCTAAGTTATATTTAAAATTCTTTCCTTCTCCCTCCAAACCACTCAGAATCCGAGGACTACAGTCCCACTTTAGTACAGCCTTCTTTGCCACATGGGTATCAACAGTGAACTGTTAACATCCAGAAAATACTGTCATTTGTCTGCAGAGATGCACAGTGAATCCTAAGGAATCCACAGACAGACTTCAATCACGCTGACGCAGAGCTCAGTATCCTTGGAAAAAAATGGAAGAAGCTCCAGGATGACAAGTGGCAAGGATGTAAAGAAACTTGCAAGTTCACAAGATCTGGAGTCATTTTCAAAACATGATCAGAGTTGTTGCACTGGCTTCTGTTACAGCTGGTGTTACAGCCTATGCATTCTCACGTCCCAAACAACGTCATGGGTCGCTTGTTGAAATCGACATTTCTTGGCACCATCCTAGTATATTATCAGGTTTTCATAAGGCTAGGAGCTTCTTATACCTCAAGCCCCAGCATTAAACTAAGGTAAAATTAATTTTCTCTTATTATGAGCCATAAGAGTCAAAATCAAGCATAGTAGGAAATTTTGGATGGTATTGAAATTTCAGAGAAAGGAACAGTAAAATGATCTGATAGGTAAGATTTAAGGGTAGTCCACCTGCTGAAAGAACTTGCTGAGAGCTAAGCCAAAAGTGTTGTTTTTTAATTGTAATACATTTTTTCTATTAAACATTACTAAACTGAGAATTGTACCATAGAAATAACTTAACCCTAGTGACTTTAGGGCTAATGCTACCTACTTTGCATGTTCCCAATCAATTAATTAATTAATTCATCTTTAAAGGTAAGAGTCTCACACTGAATAATTTACTCAAGATTTACAAGATCCTCATACCACATCTGTCTGACTCCTCCGGAGGTCACTGATCACACTAGTATCAGCAGCCCAGCTGCTGAGAGCCTGAGAGGAAAAGCAATCTCCCCATTCTCTGCCCTCGCCCCACTGTGGTTTTCTTGGGTTTCCCCTTCTACCCATCAGACCATGGGCTCACCAGGAAGGAAGAAGAGAGACACTCAACCTCAAGGTCGCCTCAACCTCAGGGTCGCCTCAACCTCAAGGTTGCTGGGCTTTAGCTGCTCCGAATAGAGTGGCCACTGAATAAATGGTAGCAATCTGGCTTCTAGATTGACATCCAACCCCCCTCCCTATACTCTCAGGTTGAACATCCTGAGTACAATATTTCAAATGGCCACTCGCATGAGGAATTCATAAGACCACACTATAAGGAAATAATGTAGATGCAGAACTCAATTTTACCCCAAATCTAATAATTTTTATTAGACTGAAAAATATAGATGCTTTTGTAGGTCAAGAGCAACCAAATGTTGGCAATTTCACATAATTCGGGTTGTACTCAGGAATCCTTTAATTCTGGATTCTCTGTCTTCTTGCTTGGCTTTAACCTACTCTTGATCTTCCTGTCTAGCTTCTCAAAATTTGCCTTCAAATTCCACTATCTATCCAGAAGTCAGTTGAGTCCCTGCTAAATTCTTCTAGCTCAGGGGTCCTTAACCCCTGGGCTATGGACTGGTACCGGTCCATGGCATGTTAAAAACTGGGCCGCACAGCAGGAGGTGAGCAGAGGGTGAGTGAGCAAAGCCTCATCTGTATTTGCAGCTGCTCCCCAGCGCTAGCATCACCGCCTCAGCTCCACCTCAGATCATCAGGCATTAGATTCTCATAGGAGCACCTGTCCCTGGTGTCAAAAAGGTCGGGGACTGCTGCTCTAGCTAACCCAACATCTAGTCCATAAATATTCATTGAACACCTTCTCTGAACCCCGGACAGAGCAAACTGCTGCTGATGTAAAGGAAGAGGGTGACACCACAATCAAAACACTGTCCCAGCCTTCGAGGAGCTCATAGTCTAGTGAGAAAGGGGAACCTTAAACACGTATACAATCAGTGTGATGACAGAAATATGTACAAACTGTTATAGAGAATCAAGGAGCATCTTGCTTGGGGGAAGAAGTAAGGAAGTTTTCAAAGAAGAGTTGACATTTGGATTGTGCCTTCAAGGATATGTGAGATTTCCTGAACTAACCAAGGTGGAAAGATATTATAGGCAGTCATGACACCAAACGCTAAGGTCGGAGGGCCTGAAAGACTGAATGTTCTGGGAAAGGGCCGAGAACTTAATAGGGCTCAATGATAGGATACAAGGAGGTGAGAGATTTGTGTCTGATCACAAAGGAACATGGCATTTTCTTTCTTTACCATGTGGGTAAGCCATAGATGTTTTTCTAACCAGAGAAGTAGCCTGTTTTGAAATATAATTTTGCAAAATTCAGGAAAGCTTGTTTTCCTTCTATGACCTGTGAGACTAGAAGGGAAGAATCAAGCAAAATGAGTAAGATGTGTAGGCTTTAAAAATAATCTTTATTGTTTTGTTTAATACTTACTAAAGAAATACAGATTCATCCTAGGCAACTCCAACATTATAGAAATATACAACATAGAAACCAAATGTTCTCTGTAGTCCAACATCCCATCCAACTTCCCAGACCCAAACCACTGTTACTACACCAATGTACTGATATAGATTCCTTTAAACTTTTATTTCAATAAATAAACCAATATATTAATATAATTTTCTCCAAACCAGTAAATATAGAGCTATCTCATTCTTTTTAATGGCCACGTAATATTCTATTGCATTAATGTAATTTATTGAACCAGTCCTTATTTTGTGGACATTTGAGCTGCATTAAGTTTTTCATGATTATGAGCCATGCTGGGACCAACACCTTATTACATAAACCCTTGCAAACTTGTGTTTTCTGTAGAATACATTCTTAGAAATCCTTCAATGAACCAATATGAAGAAATAATCATTTTTAATTTTAATAGATATTGCCAAATTGCCATCATTGCAATATTGCCAGATTGCATCAACTTATATCCCAACGGTATAAGCAGGCACCAATTTTCCTAGGAGAGGGTGGGATTTTATAGGCAGTCTGTTTTTATCAGAGAGATTGTAGAAACTTGAGACTCTTCATTCACCTCTGCGAATGTCTGTAGTTCGCACGTCTCTCTGGTATCTGATAAATTAACATTAAGAGTAGCTCGGAGATGTGCCCAAAAAAGTCCACATTTACGCCTGTCCTTGGGCCATTCCAGGTATGCTTTCTTTTCCATGAGAGCTTTTAGCTTTGGATACCTAGTAGGAATGCAGTAGAGGGGAATGGGTTCGAGTAAGATAAGAATTATGTAATCAGAAGTTTCATGAAAGAGATTGTGATGGGTAAAGTAGAGTTCATAATGGCACCACTCACTCTGGACAAAGTTGGGAGACAATACGAAGATGGACTTGTAGCTTTTTTCAATGCAGTTTAGGATATTTTCAGTAACAGTCTCGCCAAGGTCAAAGTTTCCCTCATGAAGGCAAATTAAGACGGAACCATCTTCTTTCTCTAGATTAGGGATCAATTCGTGCTTCACCCAGGCAGAATCATGTTCACTGTATGAAATAAACACATGAAATTGGACATTTCTCTTGAGTTGTTCTTGGGTTATCTTCCTAACCCGGTGCCATGTCTGCGTCCATTGAACTAGCATTCTGAGATACCAGGGCAGATCAAAGTGCAGGCAGCAGAAGGCCACAGCCATGGCCAGAACTAGCATGATAATCACAATAGTGATAATCAACAGAGCTGTGTTGCAGGATAATTCAGGAAGGTAAACATCCTTTAACCGAGTCCCCTTTAGATTCAAAGGGTATTCACAGATATATGACTCTGACCATCCAATCATCATGCCCTCTGAATTTTTTTCAAGCTGAATGAAGTCTCTTAATTCACAAGTACACCGAAATGGATTTCTTCCTACATTTAGAGTCCTAATTTCCTGGCAGCTTTGAAAAAAATCCAGAGTTGGGCTGAGAATTAAGTTCATTTCAATATTTAGAATTGAAAGCCTTCTGAAATGACTGCACTCAGGAAGATCAGTTAGAAAATTATGTGCAAGATTTAGTTCTTGCAAAGACTTCAGATGAATAATGCCTTTAGGGACATTTTGGATTTTGTTATTATTTAGATCAAGCATTTGAATATTTCTGGGCAAGCACCTGAAAACAGAATCAGCCAATTTATTGGATGATAGGTTCATGGCAATCAAGGTTTCTGGCCAAAAGCAATTTTCATCATTTTCATGCTGTAACAGATTTTGGCTCAGATCTAAGTGCTTCAAGGACGTGTTGTTAGCAAAGGAACTCACTAAAGAAAGTGTCTCCAACTTATTGTCCTTCAAAATGAACGTTTTTAAATGAGGCAATTGGATAGGTTTTTTAAACAAGTCATCTGTTAAGATATTATTAGCAAAATTTAAATACTGGAATCTTGTAGGGTAAATAGGGAAACGCATGTGTGGCATTTGTGCATCTGATATTGTTAGGTTTTCTATATCCATTTTAGTAAAAAGCAAGTAGACAATCTCCTGTGGGATATAAAAAATTCTAAAATGTACATGCTCCAATTTTATAGTTCTCATTACAGTATTTGAGTAATCAAATGAATTCTGATCGAGATAAACTTTACCTCCAAAAGTCACATGTTGAATTTGGAAGCATTCTACTGAAGTATGCCAAACAAATTGGAAGATGAGGAAAAGGTCATCCCAGAGTAAATCAACTTTATTAAGTAACAACATAGATGTCTTGGAATTCTCTAAAGTGAAATTTTGTTGAGTTTCATAATTTGCAAATTGGCTTTTGCCATCTATATTTGTCATCTCTAATATTTTTGAAGTCTTGATTCCATCACGCAAAAGAACCCAGAAATTTGTGTTTGTTGGTAAAACAATGTGAAGTTTTGTTGCATTTAAGATGGGCAGGCTACCTTCTTCATAATGAGAAATAGTTCTCAATCCTAAGAAGATGGTATTTAGATGCAAATAAGCAATTTTCTGGAAATCTGATTTTTGTATTTTTGCCCCACTCAAACCTAGGGTTTCCAGGTGTGACATGTTGCCTGTCTCCTCACAGATAGGCATGGTGTCAAAGTCATTGAAAGAAAGATCTAAATGTCTGAGACCTGCCAGTGAATACCAAGTTAGAGTCTTCAGTCTGTTGTTAGACAAATCCAAATATTTTAACTCTTTGTTAAATTTGAAGGTCTTGATATCCAGCTCTTGGATTCTGTTATGGCATAAAATCAAAACTTTCAGTTTAGAGACAGAATGAAAATCTGAACTCTGAAGTTGAAAAAGGAGGTTGTAGGATAAATCCAGTGTGGTTGTGGTTGGGGTCAGGTCTGCAGGAACCCTTCTTAGAGACATGTTGGAGCAGTTGGTAGTTGATTCCCTTTCTTCTGGCAGCTTTGAAGCCCAGCCATGCACTGACATACTACAAAATAGAGAAATACTACAAAATATAGAAATGCTACGAAATAAAGAAATGCTTCTGATATGACTCATTGTAATTCCAAGGATTTTATCACTGGTTCCCTTGTATGAATGATAAAGATGAGTTCAAAATCCTAGAAAGATAGTAAATAACATTAAGTGGTTATGCGATTTGTTAAATTCTATAGGATTCTTTTTTTTTTTTTCTAAAAATGCCAACATCTGACTATATTCACCAATTGTTTGGAGGTGGGTACAAACCTATATACTAAGTTTTTGACTTGACCTCAGAGCTTGGCTTGTAGATTTCTAAGTCAGTTATTGTGCCATATCCCCATCGCTGAGACAAGTCAGGATTCTCAAAAGGGAGAAATACAATAGTTGGCAGAAGTGCCTCTTTTCCAGTTAGGCTTAGAAACTTCATTGCCAGGTCATACTCAGCACCCTCTCTCATATTCCCTTTAGATAGCCTGAAACGAAGGCTTTGAGACAATCGAAAGTAATTTTTCAAAGACTTTATTTTTTTAGAGCAGTTTATGGTTCACAGCAAAACTGAGGAGAAGGTACAGAGATTTTTCCATGTCCCCCGCCCCTGCTCATGCATAGCCTCTTCCAATATCAACATCCCCTACCAGAGCAGTGCACTGGTTACTACTGACAGGCTGCATTGACACAAAGTCCATGGTTTACATTATGGTTCATTCTTTGTTTTGTACATTCTATGAGTTTGGGCAAATGTATAATGATGTGTATCCATCATTATAGTCTCATACAGAGCATTTTCACCACCCTAAAAATCCTCTGTGCAACTTCCTATTTATCTTTCCCCACCACACACACACAACCCTTGGCAAGCACTGATGTTTTTATTGTCTCCCCAGTTTTGTCATTTCCAGAATGTCATATAGTTGGAATCATATATAGTGTGTAGCTTTTTTCAGATTGAGTTTCATCACTTAGTTATATGCATTTAAGTTTCCTCAATGTCTTTGCATGGCTTGATAGCTCATTTCTTTTTAGTGCTGAATAGTATTGCATTGTCTGGATGTACCACAGTTTATCCATTCACCCACTGATAAACATCTTGATTGCTTCCAAGTTTTGGTAATTATGAATAAAGCTGCTTTAAATATCCACGTGTAGGTTTTTGTGTGGACTTAAGTTCTCAATGAAAGTAATTTTTATCACCCAACACTATGGGCCCCTGAATTAATGTCATGAGGTGTTCCTCAACTTTTCTATGCGTGGACATAGAGAGCCCCTGGAGCTAATATCTGACTTTCAACAACACTTACCCATATACATGGAAGGTCCAAAACATAGTAATAAACAGAATGGTTTCTGTCCTTATGCCACCATATGTCTTCAGGTTGGCGGCAAAACTGGAAAACTGCAAAATAATGGTAATAAATGATAAAAACATTTTCCATTTCTTGGAGGATTTTTACATGTCAAGATATATACTAAGCACTCTCTATATATTATCTCACTTATGTATCACAAAGCTCTGTGAGGGAAGTACTATTACCTGCATTTTACAGAGAAGAAAATGTATGGATGCAGATTTCTGAAGACTTTGAGAAAAGAGTCAGGCTTCAAGTTGTTTGATTAGACACAGAACAGAGGTGGTTGGAGAACTAAGGTTTTCACAATATTCATTATTCAAGATATTTATTAAGTACCTACTCTGCCTGAAACTTTTCTAGGCATTGGGGATATAATGGTGAATAGCAGATAGAATTTCCATCCCTACACAGCTTACATTCTTCTAGTAAAGAGAAGGAAAAGAGAGACTATAAATAAAATAATAAATTTATATCTGAGGTGATGATAAAGACTAGAAAGAAAAAAACAACTTTAAGATAAAAGAGATAGGGAGCAACTATAGAGTGATATTTTATATTGGGTGGTCAAAAAAAAAGTCTCTCTGATATTGTGTCCTTTATGCAGATATCTAAAGGGAGTCAGAGAGAAGCCAGCCACTTGTCTGAGGAAAAAATATTCTGGAGAGAGAGAGAGAGAACAGCAAACACAGTTCAAAAGACCTGATGTGAGAGTAAACTTGGAAAATATGAGGAATAAGTAGAACTGGAAAAGTGCATTTAAAACATTAGATCTTGTAAGGACTCAGATTTTCCTCTGGGTGAAATAAGAAACCAGTGGAGGCTGTAGAGTAGAGGAGTGGGAGGTTCTGGTGCACATTTGAGAGTCCTCTGTTTGCTGGGTGGAAATGACTGAAAGGGTACAGGATGGCAGGACATATCCCCTGGGACACTATCAAGTAATTCTTGCAAGAAAGAAGGTAGTTGGGGAGGTAGTGAGAAGTGGTTAGATTCTAACATTAGTAAACTCTTCAACTCTGAAAACATCAAGGGAAAGTAATTAGCAGTGATGAGAGCTTTCTTGCTTTAACATGCATGTGTCCAATATACACTGACCCTCAAACTCCCTTAGACTGGTCACACCCATAGACAAGCAAGAGGAAGAAAAAGCATTCTCCATAGGAAGAACACAGTATGTAAGACTTCTCTGTACTGTTCATGCTATCCCATTGCTCTGAGAAGCTGTGTGTGTCCATGCACCCATGCAGGTGTGGTGAGGGGACAAAAATGGCAGAACTAAAGCAAAGTGACACCTAGAGTATTACCCCACTCTCACTGTCATCTGGATTTTTCTTTCTCTAGAACCGCCCACATTTTTGTTTGGGGGTGTGTGCGTGCGTGCTTGCTTGTGTGTGTGTGTGTGTGTGTGTGTGTGTGTGTGTGTGTGTGTGTGTGTTGAAGTAAAGAAATTCTAAAAACATATTGATATTTTCCAAAATAACTTAAAAACAAAAATATTTTCTAAAACTGTTTCATAGAAAATAGGGAAATGGACACAGAAATTCTCAACTACCTTATGAAATGACTGGAGAGAAAAATTTGATTTTGATATTCCTTGTCCACTGTGTACCCAGTGGAAAAGAGGCATGAAAGGCACTAGGTGGGAACAGGATTGAGAAGGTGGCATCTGGAACTAGACTTGGATTTTCACCTCTTCACTGAGATATTTCCTCCATTTTTATTTCTTCCAGTCCATCCCAGGTAGTCCTTGGTCATCCCTTTTCATATAACATTTAACATAGCATCCATTGATCAACAGAAGAACATTCATGAATATAAAAAGAGAGCCTCTGCGATGCAAATTTATGTCCATAGTAATTTTTCAGCTTTCAGAAATCCAGCAAAATAAACTTATAACCAGTACCATAAATTGAATCCATTACCCATATTTAAGATGACTTGAGCAACTTGTTCTGCTTGATGAATCTATGTATTTATATCTCTTCAGCAAGTCTGATAGTATTTCCACTCCATATTGACTCTATCATGCAAACAAGACAGTGGCCACTGATGCCTTTTGAAATGACAGCAGCTAGCATTCATTGAGTTAAATAATGCTAACTTATGTAGATTGATCCTTACAGCGACCACCTTATTAGGTAAGTGTTATCACTATTCCTCCTTTACAGATATGGAAGGTGGTGCTTAGATCATTAACTGCCTCACAGTTGCAGAGTTAATACATAGAGTCCAGAGCCTGGGTTCTTAGCCACTCTATTGTCTTGTCTTTCTAGGGTAAGTCAAGGTAAATTTGTTTTCAAAATATGTTAAAATACATTAATCACAATGAAATGTTATTTCACTAAGTCATATTGATTCTTTGAAGTTTTTTAATACACAGTCCAAGGAACCTAATGAGTAAGTCTGCAAATGTCACCAGTTTGGGTTTTATGCCAATTTCTTACAAGGACAGACACGGATTGAGCCGTTATGTTGAGCACTATCTTGTTTAAGCCACTGCATTTTGTTATAGCAGTCAGACTTGGTCCTAACCAACATACTGTCACAACTGGAAAAAAACTGGATGATAACACCCTCCACAAGATGGTCTCGCTTCCTCCTGGGATCCCACCGCGGATTTCTCTTCTGGCCTTGTACACACCTGTCACACTGCCCCTCTTTTGTTCCTTGGCCACACCATGCTTGCTCCACCTTGGGGCCTTTGCACCAGCTTTTACCTCTGTTTGGCATGCTCCTCCCCCAATCCTTCCTTGGCTGGGTCTTTCTTGTCATTTAGATCTTGGCTTAAAGTTTATCTCCTCTACGAGACCTGACTTGACCACCTAATCTACAGTGGCCAGCTTGCTCTCGATTCACATCAACTCATTTTATTTCTCGACAAAACGAGAGTTTACCACAATGTAAAACTGTTGTTCATTTATTTATTGACTATCTCCCCTACCTCTTAGTCTCATCAAAGAAGAGAGTTGACAATCTTATTCACAAAGAATAGTGCCTTGCAAATAACATATACTCGGTAAATACTTTTTAAAATATTTTTTAAATGTATGTATGAATATATGATTTTAATTTTGTATCTTTTAGCACAAGGTGCTATATAATATGTTCTCAAAAATATGTGTCAAATGCATGAATTTATGTTGTGAGCTCCTGATATGTATGGTTCAGTGCATGATAGTTAGAGAATGAATTTAGTTTTAAGGATTGATAGATCTAGGTTCAAGTCCAATCTTAGCCACTCACAGGTTGTATTAACTTAGACCATTTATTTAACTGCTGAAGCATTCTGTTTTCTCATTTGTAAAATGGGTTTTGTACAGAGGCATAAAAGAGATAATGTATATAACTCTGATTTCTCTTCAAATCGTATAAAGCTTTTGCCTTTTACTAAAGCGATGATGTGTATAAATCACTTGTATCATGCCTAGTATATCACAAATGATAGCAATTATCAGGGCCAAGACTAAGATGACCTCAGATACAAATTTTAAGGGGCATCAAGAAACTCAGTAATCAAGATAAATAATATTTTAGTGAAATATTTTTTAAAATTAAAATTAATGCAAAAATTCATAATGAACACAACACCAATTTTTTTGTAAAGACCGGATCAGTATTACTGATTTTTCATTCTTAGACTCTAACATGGCTTGGCAGGACACCAGCAGTTATAGACTTTAAGTGATCAAGGTGTTTTTAACATTGTCAACTCATAGAATACTTCAGTCTGTAATAACTTACTTTAAGCTCCTAGGTCTAGGAGTTATGGCCCTTGAAAAATGCAGCAGACTCTAACATAATTGCTTTCTCTGGAATTCCCTGAGTTGAGATGCCATAGCTTCCACCTTTTATCCACCTCTTTTCCCTGACCAACACTACAACCTTATTTGGAACTTATTCTAAAGAAGGAAGGGAAGTTAATTATTTTTTTTAACTTCTCTTAATATAAAATAAAAAGGTCCTATCTCAGACAGTGCATATGCATTATGGCATTTCATTAAAACATTTCAAAAAATAGAACATAAACTTCTAATGAAATATGCATTCAATAAGTATTATATATTATTATCATATTCCTACTACTATTACCGCTATGCCTTAAGCATACTTTCTTCAATAGCTTATGATTTAAAGATACAAGTCAAAAGACAGCATGAAATGACTATTAGTGGTTTGTCAAAGAATACTTAATCATCTAATTTCTTTTTTCTCAATGATGCAAAAAAAAAAAAAAATGACAAAGGGGTAAAAAGCTCATTGAATATTGAATAATCTTTGTAACCAAAGAGTATGAATCACTGACATTTTTCATATATCTCTTATCTGCCTGGTGTGGAGCTAAATGCTTTTCGTACATTATCTTTTTTCAATCTTCTCAACAGCCCAACAAAATGGTGGATATTTTTATCCCTATGTTACAATGGAGAAGTTAAAGCCTAGAAATTGAGTGACTTGTCTAAAGTGACCCAGAGAATAAGTAATAGAGCACAGATCTGAACCAGACCTACCTAGCTTCTTCCAGGACAGAAACCAAAGACATTTTGAACTCTGAAATGAAGTAGTTTAGAACGTGATTACCAAGGCTGATTCCACTGTCAGAACTAGCTGCCATGGTGGCCTCTTCCTCCCTACCCCACGTACCTCTGTCTGAAGTGATATGCAGCTGCTATTGGAAATTCATTCTGCCAGGTGTCACAAAGCTCAAGAGACTTTGCCTACACACATTCTTAAGAGAGCTATAAATGCACGAGAATTGAAATGCAACTCAGATAGTGTACAGAACTCTAATTCATAGCTCAGTGTAGGCGGCCCGTGAGAAAGCTGTGCTGGGAATCTAGTGCCTGGATGCTCTAATCATTCTCCACAGCAGCCACAGGGCCATCTTTGCTCACTGTGGACTCCTGAAGGAAACCGATCAAGACCTACATTGTACAAAGTCCATCAGATGTACCCCTACTTTTAGACATAAAACACAAATGCAAAACTTTTAAACTAGTAAAGGAGCAATAAATATGGTTTAAATAGCCAAACAGCAGTTGTTATTAATATGCATCACAAGAAAATTAAAGCTAGAGAATATTCCGTTTCAGTGCCTGTGGTCGTCCACTCTGGGAAGAAGGACTGACCAGGTTCAGACAGCGACCAGTGAAAGGAAACCCAAACCCTCAAGCATTTTCAAGACAATTTCTCAGATCCATAGCCCCAAGGTCATTCATCATTAATCTTTAATCTTTAATTATTAATCTTTATATTAATGTAGGCAAAATCATAAATACTAAAAATCTGAATAAAGCTACTTTCCTCTTGTGTGCATGTGTTCAAATTACTTCTTCTTTAAAAAGACCCGTGCAACCCTAATTTCTTTTTCGTGATTGTTACAACAAACAAAGCTAACAGTTCTTACCGCCCGGCTTGTTGTGTGGCTCCAGGCTTGTTGTGTGGCTCAGAGCTGCAGGTGTGGATGAATCATTGATGGCTCGAACTGGCTGCAGGAGTGACTGAATTGCCCTTTTCTGTGAAGCTTGAGCTCCTTTGCCCTCTACTGCATGCAAGTGGCATTACATGATGCCTAAATTCATTATAATCTTAGAGCATGTTTTTAATAATCGCAGTAAAATACACACATAAAGTTTAACATTTTCACTGTTTTTAGGTGTAGGGGCATTAAGTGCATTCAGAATGTTGTGCAACCATCACCACTATTTGTCTCCAGATCTTTTTCATCATCCCAGGCTGAAACTCTATACCCATTAAGTAATAATTCCCCAGTTCTTCCTCTCTAAGTCTCTGGTGAATAACATTCTACTTTCTGTCTCTGTAAATTTGACTACTCTAGCTACCTCATACAAATGGAGCCATACAATATTTCTCCTTTTGTGACTGGCTTACTTCATTTAGCGTAATGTTTTTAAGTTTCTTCCATGTGGTAGTATGTATCAGAATTTCCTTTCTTTTTAAGGCTGAATTATTTTCCACTGTGTGTATATACCACATGCTGTTAATCTATTCATCTGTCAGTGAATGTGTGGGTTATTTTCACCTTGTGGCTACTGTGAATAATGCTACTATGAAAGTGGGTGTAGAAATATCTGTTCAAATCCCTGCTTTCAGTTCTTTTGGGAATATACCTAGGAATGGACTTGCTGGGTCATATGGCAATTCCATGTTTGTTTATTTGTTTGTTTATTTATTTTGCAGAAGTGCCATACTGCTCCCCACAGCATCTTAGAGCACTTTGATGGTACCTTATTTTGAAGTTCAGATCAGTTATTCTGTTCATCAAATTGGGTGAGATGGCGGTGGGGGGCTGAGAGAGAATAGGAATGACGGTTCCATCATTTCAGCAATCTGACTGCAAGAGTGAGAAGGGGTTAGCTAGAGGCCTTGTCTTGAAATAAAGTGGTAAAACAAGTATGGTATTATTTATGTAGATTACAGCGTACAGATCAATTTTTTCAAAACAATACTTTTTGAGGTTTTATTTATACTTGACAAGATTTAGGTGACACGCTGGAGATTACTAGTGAAGATAAAAATTTCCAAATGGATTTATCTACTGGAGGAATGGTCAATTTCAAAATGAATGGTTATAGCTGGTTTATGTAAATGTGAAATTAGGAAGGGGATGCATTCTTAAAACAAGATTTTTTTACAATATTGGTTTTATAAAGTAAAAATGTAATGCATATATTTCTACATAAATTTTAGGGGAAAACTATGCAATAAGTTACTGTGTAAAGAAAAACAATTTAAAAAAAAAACAACAAAGAAAAACAGTCTACTGCCCACCTAAACGTATATAAACATATCTACAAACACATACATATGAAAACAGGTGCCAGATGCACACACAACAGGAATGCTGGAGAGGGTAATCCTAACTTGTTGGATGAAGCACACTATAAAGTCTCTTTCATCTTAGAAATTCTCAGACTATTATCAGCACACTCGCATTCTATATTATCCTCCAAAGGGAAAAGAATCACATGGGATTTTCCAGTGACATATCCTTCCTTTCCCCAGAGCCCAACATGTTTAAACACTACACTGTCAGTGAATGAAGGCATTTTCTTTACATGTTTTTTAGTTTATTTACCAAAAACAAGTTAAGCCAAGTTGGAAAACAGTATTCTGCGTTATCATCATCATCATCATCATCATCATCATCATCATCATCAATCGCCATAGCTCGCATTTACATCCTAAGTACAGGGAGTATTACATATAAGATATTGGCTAATCCTCACTACAAACTACATAGAATTTATACATAATTCCCATTTGATGGATAATGAAACTAGTTCAACATGAATAAGAAACTTGCCCAAGGTCATCATCTAGTAAGAGAGACAATCAGGATTCAAAACCAAGTTTGTATGGCTCCAAAGTCCATGATGTTTTCACTACTCCACATGCCCAAGAGCTTGTATACTGTTCCCTCTGCCTTTACCTGGAATTCCTAAAGATTTTAAATCCTTATTGGCAATTAGCAATAAGAACAGTAAGCTCAGAACCATTTGTGTTGATAACTTTGAGATGTAATTTTTAAAATTTCCCTCAAAAATCTTCCCCCTTTTTCTTTTCCTTTTTCCCTCCCTCTCTTCTTACTCTGAACTTTAGAGATATCTGCCATGATAATTCATTCTCTCTCACACAGAGAGACAGACACATACACACGCACACGTCCTCCCTTATGCCTTTCTATGATTTCAGAATTCTGCCTGCCATATTTCTTCCTTCATATATAAATTGCAATGAACAGAGAGCCTTGGGTTACTTCAAGTGGAAGGCTTATTTTATTTATTGATTGATTATTTCAAGCTTATATTTTTTTATTTTTTTATTTTTCCCCCTTCCTCCTTCCTCTTCCCCTGGTAACCACTGGTCCATTGTCCATGTCTATGAGTCTCTGTTTCTTTGTCTTGTTCATTTGTTGCTTTTAGGTTTATATCCCACATATAAGTGATATCATATGATTTTCAACCTTTTCTGTCTGGCTTATTTCACTTAGTATGATTATTTCAAGGTCCATTCATGTTGTTACAAATGGCAGTATTTCATCTCGTCTTATGGCTGAGTAATATTCCATTGCATTTATGTACCACAGCTTCTTTAGCCAGCCATCTATCGTAGGACACTTTAGTTGCTTCCATGTCCTGGCCACCGTGAATAGCACTGCTATGAACATCGGTGTGCAAATATCTTTTCGGATATGGGTTTTCAAGTCTTTAGGGTAAATACCCAGTAGAAGGATTCCTGGATCATATGGTAGATCAATTCTTAGTTTTTGAGGAACTCCATACTGCTTTCCATAGTGGCTGTACCAATTTGCAGTCCCACCAGCAGTGTGTATGAAGGTTCCTTTTTCTCCACCTCCTGT